GGAGGGAGGATGGGGGACAAAGATGTGGGCACGGGGCGCTGGCGTGGGGCCGGGGGCTACCCTCCTTTCCGAGCAAAAGCCCTCTCCTTGCTCCCCTCTTGGGTGGGTGGATTTACTGGTGAGGGATGCCCAGGGATGGCTGCGCTCGGAGGGGGTGGCCCACCTGACCTGTCCCTCCCCAGGCGGCTCCCGGGGGTCCCAGAATGACACGTGGTCGACGACCCAGGCTTGGCGCTTCTGCCACAGGGATGGTGCCTGGAAGCCCATTGCTTCCATGCTGAGAGCCCGGACAAACCACACCAGTGCCGTTCTCAATGGTGAGATCTACGTCATTGGGGGTAAGGCCACGAAGACCCCGCAGGTGCTGCTGGGGCAGGGGTCTGTCGGTGCCCCAGAGCAGCAGGGTGGCTGCAGCATCCCATCACCCTGCAGGGACGACGGTGTATGCGGTGGAGGTGGAGCGCTATGACCCCTACAACAAGAGCTGGTGTGCCATCAGCCCAGCCCTCAAGTATGTGAGCAATTTTGCAGCCGCCAGCTGCTTGGGCAAGCTCTACCTGGTGGGCTCCTGTGCCGTCAAGTACAACGCACTCACCCTGCAGTGCTACAACCCTGTCCAAGGTGAGAGCTGGCCCCACCACCGCACCCCACCAAGGTCTTCCTGGGGAGCAGGACTGAGGGGGACCCCTAGGCAGGTGACATCCTGTGCTGCCAGGCACGGTCCCGCAGGATGTAGCCAGGTGCTAACGGGGTCCACCGATGGCTGCAGCACACGGCCAGGGGCCAGCCAGGAGCATGGCTGCCGGCAGCATGGACCTGAGTTGCAGACCTCCAGCACAGCCTGGACCTGAGCTTCAGTGGAGTGGGATCCCCGGGGCAGGGAGTTGGGGAAGCTGCCCACCTTATGGAGAAACTAAACCCCTTTGACAATGCCACCTACTCAGGCAGCCTCTGCGCAGCCCGTGGTGGTCTCCCCCATCCCGCACCACCACTACAAACAATATCCCCCCACCTTTTTTTTATGCAAGAGCCTCATCTGGGATGGGGACTGCAGGTGCCACCCTGCCTGGCCACTGTGTCCCCTCCTTTTCAAACTCCCCCTTAAATAGCTGCAGGCTAGGCAATGCTTTTTCAGTCACTGGCAGCTGCATCAAGAGCCAAGGGTGGGATGTGCTGCTAACGGCTGTTTCTTGCAGATCTGTGGAGTGTGATCACATCCCCCTTCATCCCTAAGTACCTCTCGGCCCCACGCTGTGCCACCTTGCGCGGGCTCATCTACCTCATCGGGGACAACACTAAGAAGGTCCACGTGTACAACCCGGAGGCCAACATCTGGCAGAAGGTAGCGAGATGCGGGGCTGGGCACAATCACCCGGGGAGGTGGGGCAGCTGTTCACTCCCTGCCAGCACCCCACAACCATACCCTTGCACCCCCTCTCCCTCCTGCTGACTCATCCCTTGGCTCTATTAACCCCTGCAGAGCCGAAGATGCCCCAATCCTTCCTTCCCTGCTCCACACTAGGAGCATGGCTTTCGCACCAAATTACTGATTTTAAGCAGTGTTCACACTGCAGAAGCCCACAGGACCCCCCCTTTTCCAGCACCACCCTCCTGCAGGGTGTACGGGGCTCCTGCCTGTGCAGTCCAGCAACATCCTGCCTGTCCCCTCCACCCTCCAGACCCCCTGCTCCCCGCAGCACCCTCAACCTTGCTCCCATACAAGCACAACACGAAGATGCTGCTAAAAGCAAGACATGGCCCCAGAAGCCCCCAAACCTCGCAGAGAGGACAGGGCGGGGGGACACACCCAGTAGGTTGATGTCCTCCGTAGTGGGAGCAGGACGTCCCCGGGGAGTCCCTGCGCATCTCGCCCTGCCCCTCATGCAGGTGCAGCTCCTGCACACGTTACACGAGAATGGTGGGATGGTGCCGCTGGGCGACCGGCTCTTCGTCACCGGCGGCCACTGGAAGGGCATGGATGGGGACTACCGGGTGGAGATGGAGGTGTATGACTGCGCCAAGGACCTCTGGACACGGGAGGGCTCTCTGCCCTGCCTCTGGCTCTTCCACAGCTCCTCTTCCATCTTCATGGACACCTCCAAGTGGACGGAGGCTTTCCAGGGTGACCACCGGTGGTAGGAGAGCCCACAGCATTGCCTGTCACCCTGCGCAGCCGCTCTCCCCCTCTCGCCTCGCCCCGCTGCCAGTTCAGCTCTGCGGGGGTGGGGGGGAGATGAAAACTCCTCTGCTAGGCTGGCTGGGGCGTTAAAAACCCCCCCCCCCCGCCCACTGCAGGGAAAAGGCTTTTCCTTATGAACATGCTTTGGCTAACACTTTCTTTTAGTTTGTTGGTTTGTTTTTTTTTTAAGAACTGTCTTTTTCCCCAAAAAAAAAACCCAAAGCTTTTAGGTTATTTCAAGGCCTCCCAAAGTGTGGCACATCCCATCAGAGACTGGCATTGCTGCCTGGTGGCCGTGGCCCCTTTCCCCATCACGTTGATATCCAGCGTGGGGAAACATGAGGGGGACCAGGGGAATCTCTCTCTCCCAACACCCAAAGCTCTCTGGCACCTTGCTGTCTCACATAGAAGTGTCAAACCCGCTCCAGTGCCCCGTGGAGCAGAATGACAGGAGATAAACCAACTTTCGGATGCTTTGTGTCTTCGGGTGGCACAGCGGCCTGCAGTGGGGTGCTGCATCCTGGTTTCTCTCTTGGCATGCACAGCACGCACCCCTGGGAAGTGACCCGAGGGTTATGGTGGACCAGCCGGCACCTCAGTGGCTCCATGTGCCTCCTGCCCCATCCCCATCTCTGCTGGTACCCGGTGGCAGAGGATGCCACAGGACAGGGCAAGCACAAGGCAACACTTCTCCAATGACCAGTCCCACTACTGGCACTGGGACGTCATAGCTCTGCCAGCATCGTTTGATGGTTAATCTGTTCTGTGTTAGGTTTTTTATTATTTTTGAAGCATTAAACACGCACACTGAGGAGCTCTGTGGGTCGTGGGAGGAGCCCCCGGGTTGGGGGGGAGCGTCCCCCACTCCTGGCGCTCCGCGCTGGTCCCCACGGGCCACGCGGAGTTTTACACACGGGGGGGTCTCCGCGTCCCGCAGGGGAGAGCGGCGGCTCTTCTGCGGCAGCAGCGCTGTCC